TGAACAAAACATATTTGCATGTTTTTTTGGGGTGTCCTTAAACTTATCATCGGTAGTGTACTTTAAATTTAATTTTGAAACAAGACGGTTTTTGACTGCTCGCCAGACTGTGAAAGATTTTTAAAACAGCGAAAAAGAGAACTACTAAGCAGGAACGTTTTACGGTTTTACACTGTGAAATGCTGTATTAAAACTAAATGAATTGTTCATCATAAATCAGAGTGGATGCCAAATGATAAACCAACATAAATCAGAGTGGATGCCAAATGATTGCAGAATTGTTACTTGGGAGGTTCGTGATATTTTCAGTACGGGATACCTCGTGAACTTGGCCATATCGAATGATACCGTCTTCAGCAAAAATTTCCAAAAATTACATGGTCGTCCTTTCACAGTTCTGGATCACTGTGAAGCGCTTGCTTCCTCCTCACTGTTCTTCTCGGCGTCCGGAACGTCCATTACCACCACCTCTTGAGGTTCTTCTATTCTTCTGAACCGCTTCCTCGTTTGGCGATGTACCACTACACTCTTCTCTTCCACATTCCGTTTTTCGTTTCCTTCTTCCGTTCGTTGTTGTACTGCCTGCTTGCGATCCTTCCGATCGGGGCTTGGGAATTCATACGATGCCCATTCAGCAACTTGGGAATCTCCTTTCTTACATCCTATGGGCATATTGAGGCCTAAGGCAGCTGAACATTTCTCTCAAACATCACAGTATTTCCCTAGCACCAATGCTAGATCACTATCCGGAACTTCTGGTGGTGAAAGGTGTCCCACTAGATATTGCATCACGGGAAAAACGCTGTAGAAAATTACCCATTGGGTATTTTCTCTTGAAAATTTGGGTAGAAGTAGTTTAGAGTGTATTGTCTATACTGTGTTTTTTTATCGCCGTCAGTTTTTCGAAAGTTGGAAAAATGGCATCACCCGAAAAGCACCGTCACGAGTTGATTTTGCGCAAGCACCTGGAAAATCCTCAACTCTCTCATCGGGACATCGGAAAACAACTCGGAATAGTGCAGTCAACGAGTCGTGTGATTAAACGTTGCTACGAAACTCTGAGCATCGAACGGAAGGAGAAATGCGGTCAGAATGGATGTTCTATTAGAGATCAGGATCACAAGCGTGTCGTGAAAGCGTTTAAGCGGAATCCCAATGCTTCGGTCAGGGATGTGGCCAAAAAGTTGAATCTGTCAATGTCTTTCGTTCAAAGGGCCAAGGACCGGGAGGGACTGCATACGTACAAAGTGCAGAAGGCTCTAAATCGCGGATGATGAGACTTACGTCAAGGTGGGCTTCCGGAAGCTTCCGGTTCTACACCCAACCGGGGGATGTAAGATTCTCTTACAATTATGTGGGATTCATCATCAGAGGATGTTAGTGGAGACCGCATGAACCGAGGATGCGATATACCTAGCTGCGGTCCAATGCAAGAAAATTGGAGACCGAAAAATGTAGAGTGTATTAGTGAGGCAAATTAGTTATGTCGAAAAAATAGGAATCAGATTGCCGACTGGACTCGAACGACGAACGTTGCGATTATCAGACCTGTGCTTTCTCCACTGCTCTCTCCATGCTTCTGAATATGGATAGCCTAAAAATACTGGGCTTTTATGAAGCAGACACTACGGAATCATCCCAAGGAGGTCAAATCTGAGGAAGACATGAAGAAAAATTGGGTTTCCGTACAGAAGAAGCTGCAGCCAAATGTTGTACAGAACCTAATGAGTGGAGTTAAGCGTAAGGTGCGAGCGTACGGTTATGGTATTGAAATTGAATGAAATGAATATGCCAAAAGCTTACTAATAGGTTATATTTTGTTGTCTGGAAATTCTTTAAAGCATCGGTCAACTAGGTAATTTTTAACATCGTTTTTTTCCGTGATGCAATCTGATGTGGGACACCCTTTATTTACTTGCCCTTTTATGTCATGCATGCTACATAACCACTGGTTATTAACCAGTCCATGGTAGCCTGTCGAGTCTTATATGCTTCACACTTCCCATTCTGTTAAATACTTGATTCAACTCTTAAGACGCCAGATGCCGAAAACAGTACATTAACTCAAAAGTCTATTAAGAGATGCTAGAATTGAAAATTATACGTATTTACCACTAAGAGGTTTGCTTTTCAATTTATTTAATTTTAATATGTAACTTGAAATTGTTAGTTAAAAAACATAAGGAGAGGAATATGAGAGTAAGGCTTGTACTCGAAAAAAATGCACCATTTTTATCCGTGTGTAATTTTTTTATCCGTGGGTAAAAATTGATGAAAATCTGGGTATAACTAGTTTGGAGTGAATTGTTTACATGTGCAAAATTTCATAGCAATTGGTTCAATGGTTATTGAGATGTCATCGAAACAAGAAGAAAATCGCCGGAGAATTTTGCGCGCCGTCATGGAAAATCCACCTGCGACCATGAGATGGACGGAAGACAACTGGGAATCACCCATACAACTGTGTCTCGGGTGGTAAAATCGTTTAAGGAGTCCCAGACGACCGAGCGGCGGGCTGGAAGTGGAAGAAAATCGAAGACAGCTGACCCTGTGAAGGCCCGGAAGGTGTTGGATTATTTCAAGCGTAATCCGAACCTTTCGATTCGCGACGCGGCTCTGAAGGCAAAGTGTTCCACCTGGTTCGTTCAGCAAACCATGAAACGAGCTGGGCTTCGTGTATTCAAGGTCCGGAAGGCACCGAACCGGCGTGATCAACAAAACACGGCGGTCAAATCCCGCGCAAGGAAGCTGTATCGAGAGTGGTTAACGTTACCGATGTGTGTGGTTATGGATGACGAAACCTACATCAAGGCAGACGCAAAGCAGATACCGGGGCTGGAGTTCTACGTTGCCAAATCACGGTTTGATGTTCCGTAAGACAAAAGGAAGAAGAAAGTGGACAAATTCGCCAAAAAATACTTGCTCTGGCAGGCCGTACATCACAATAGGTACCATCAACAGCGAAATTTACCGCACTGAGTGCCTCCAGAAGCGTCTGTTGCCCTTCCTGCGGTCCCACGGAGGCGAGACATTATTTTGGCCGGACCTGGCATCATGCCATTACGCGCGATCGACGTTGGATTGGTACAGAGACAATAGCGTTGTTTTTGTACCAAAAACCGCCAACCCCCCAAATTCACCAGAGATTCGTCCGGTGGAAAGATTTTGGACAATAATGAAGGCCAAAGTTCGAAACTCGTCCAAGGTGTTTAAGAACGAGCTGGAGTTGAAGAAAGAATGGATGAAAGTGACCAAAAAGGTCGGCTCCACCATTACACAAAATGTAATGAGGGGTCTTAAGGGAAAGGTGCGGGCTTTCAGCGATGGAAAGGAAATTGAATAAAGTAATTATGCCGAAACATAATCCATATGTATTAATTCATTCCCTGAAAGTTTCAAGAAAATCCGACTTAAATTAAATTTTTGGCGAACACTTTTGTCTTGTGCATTTTTTTTTCGAGTACAGGCCTTATATATTTGCTTCGTTTATTAGCCAAATTTTTTTTTCAAATGTTCATCAAATGTGATTTCAATTTCATTCTTGAAAAGACTAATTTTCAGGACAACGTAGGATAACTTACAACAGGGAAAATATCTTCAACTGGAAGTGAATAGACTACAGCCTAGACTATCGAGATCCTCAATCTGTACCAATTGCCCCTCCAAAATCGCTGTATTACCTCAATCAGTGATACCAACCGTCACGGTTAACAAGCTTTTGTTAACTTTCAACAAACGAAATTAGGTTAACGGCCCTGGGCTCATAGTGCTTCGGTGTCAGTCTTTGATAAGTTACACCCGTGTGCAGTCACCGGGTCACTCAATTCTACTGTGCCGTTGATCGATGCAGTAGATCCTGCATATATATACCTAGTTTAAGACTCACCAGAATAGTGTTTAGTTAAGTTATTGTTGTTCTGCATTTTTAAATTGTTGACGAGGCAAAACAAGACATAAATAGTCCGATCCTTTGCGTCGGAGGTGAGTACTATTCCCGCGTCGTTGGTGAACTAGAACAAAAGGGTATCGCCATTCAATAGCCATTTGATGATATTGTTCCTTTGTGAATCATAAATAGCGATCGACATACAAATGAGCACATGGCTTTCACGTTCGTCTGTCCGTCACACAGTGGGACGAAATCTAAAAAAAAAAAGTTGGACATGGCCATTTTCGACGAAACTTGAGTACTTTGTTTGAGTGATAAATAAAATTGCTTACACTAAGATAACAAAAATATTTTTTTTAATATATTGTTAAAAATCAATGAAAATCTATTCATACCCTACTGTTACATATACAATTCAAAAGGGGATCCACGGGGATACCTAATTAATTTTCTAATAAAGTTTCTCAATGTTTTGTTACGTTTTGCTGTTTTCATGACCATTTTCCAAGTATTTACATTAGAGTGACAATTACAATTTTGTAAAATCTGGAAAATTCAATTAAAATTAACAGTTTTTAAGAAGGGACTACCGTTTGTACTCCATTATCACCCTATAACTTCGTCAACTTGAGAGACAGAAAATTGTTGCCTTCGACAAAGTTTCTTAAAATTACTTCATCTACAATATTTCCATAGATGTTCATCAGTTTTAACAAGGCATACAAAAGTTATTTTTTACTATCTGAGTGTATACCCTCCTTAATCAAACATTTTTACCTCTCAAATAAAGTACTCAAAAACGCAGAAACGTTCTACAAAACATCAAAATACTACACTTAATAGTTTCGTCGCAAATGGCCATGTCCCACCTTTCTCTATGCCGTCCCACTGTGCGTCGCATCGCTGATTGATTGCAGTGATAATCGATTTAGCATCCATCCCCACGCTGGAAGCAATACAACACAATAGATTATAGGTCAAAACATGTTTGTTCGATTCCAAGTCATTCTCATGCATCGACGACAGCCGAAGGGAAATCCATTGACCTCGTCTAATTTCATCCTGTGCCACAAATGCTTGCTAATTGCTTGTTTTCTATTTAACATTTCAGATCACATCCCGCCCCTGCACACACCACGTTCGATCTCGTGGTTGATTCGTTCGGTTAAAAAATCGACTAAAAGCGAAAGTACTCGTACCAAACCGCGCCGGTAGCATCCCACAATATGGAGGACGATTCGCTCAAGAAGGACCTGCGGAAGGATTCCCTGTCGAAAAACAGCATCAAAAGCGGTGGCGGCGGCGATGGGGAAATCACCCTTAAACCGAAGATGACCCTGCTGAATGGCGTGACGGTCATTGTCGGGTCCATCATCGGGTCCGGTATCTTCGTGTCGCCGGCGGGGGTTCTCCTCAATACCGGCAGTGTCAACATGTCGTTGATCGTTTGGGTTCTGTCCGGGCTGTTTTCGATGGTGAGTACACCAACCTGGGATTGTTTTATTTTTGGCGAGGTAATAAATTAATCCTCGGATCTGGTTTCTAGTTTTGGGGGCCGGATTGGATAGCAAATTAAAGCTTTTTTATTGGGTGAAGGTTTTTTTTTGTCGATGGTGATGTCTTGTTGTCGGTTCCCGTTTTGATGGTTTGTGACGATACAAAAACGTGTTTTACATGTTTTATTGTCGCCCCGCAGGGGGGCAATAAACTTGCAAGTGCGCGGTGTCGTATTCTGAATGTTTGTAAGCGTTTTTAGCACTGTGCTGATTGTAAATACCAAAAATGTAGTCATTTAAATGAATATGGAGATTAAATTCAATCGCCTTATGCGGGAAAGCTTCAAACTCGATAAGATCCGAACAAACTCAATAACGATTCCCATTCAATTTCTGCCCGCTAGGTTGGAGCGTACTGCTACGCCGAGCTGGGAACGATGATCAAGAAATCCGGTGCCGATTATGCCTACATCATGGAAACCTTCGGCCCATTCCTGGCGTTCATCCGTCTGTGGATCGAGTGCATGATCGTCCGGCCCTGCTCGCAGGCCATCGTAGCCCTGACCTTCAGCGTGTACGTCCTGAAGCCGTTCTTCCCCGAGTGTCAACCACCGGACGATGCCGCCCGGCTGCTGGCCGTCTGCTGTATCTGTAAGTATCGCAGTCAGAGTCATGTACCGCTTATACTTTTCCCCATTGCAATTCACGATCAAAACTGCCAATCGTAGATCCGCAATAACGCGCACAAAAATGATATAATTGCCGGCCTCAATTACCCCCGGTCCGGTACGGAACGCGCGTGGGTTCTGCGCAAATTCTCGTGGTTGCATCACTTCAATCATATATAATCCCATCCCTTCGCCGTTCAGCGCAGCCTACATGCTGAATGTTCTCTTCTCCGGTCCAACCGTAATCTATCATTTCAACGTTCCGTGTCGTAGCTTTTATTTGCCAACAAACTCCGTAACTAGGGTAAATGTCGGCTTCGGCACCCATTGACTGTTTTCGGCAACCAAAATTTAAACGTTAATTTCACTATGTTTTCCCATCAACACACTTCCCTGAATGCATCCAAACGATTCTTTAGTCTTTCAGCTTCAATCTGATTGTATGTGTACGTCTGAGCAGTTTTGTTATGGCAGATTTTTATTCAAATGAAGCATACGTACTCTAAAATGGGGTTGATTTCAAGTTGCCGATAATAGAACAGCTGGTTAACACGCAGTTCTAATGGGAAGGTTGCCGAAGAAAACGAGGCTGCCGACAATAGTCACACTCACCTGAGAAGTTTGGAGCGTTGTAAAAACGCTTTCAAACAGTTTTGAAGAATTCTGTCGATTAAAATGGATAGAGAAGCAAGCAGCAGATGAATGTAAACCAACAGACACGTCATATATGTGCGTGACGCTGAGAAAATGCTAATAGAAGTGTGGACACTGCTTAGATTGACGAGAATACGTAAATTCCCCTATCTACTTACTAGGCGGTTTCCACTGGAAAGAAAAAGTTCGTTCAGTTCCGTGCGTGATAGCGAAAGTACAATAGTTCACATTGTGTGTGTGTGTCTATCTTAGCGCGCGATGGACTTATCGCTGGGTAGAATTTACAATAATAAGCGCCGCCGGTGGCGTCGCGAGTGGGAATCTCCGAGAAGAAGCCCAGGAAATCCTAGGCGGAAAATAAATAAACACGCGATAACCATTTATCGTCCATTACTGATTTATCTGTGCCCTATCTCTCCGGTCGGTGCGGGTCAAATGACGAGCAAACTGACGGATTAAATGGGAAAGGGTTGGTTGTCGTTATCCGTTGGATCCGGTCGGATTAGGAAAACAAACTGCAATTTCCGGATCGCTTTTTTGCTGTGATAAAGAACGTGGAACACTGGGATGTTGTCGCTTGATAAGTGGTAACACTAGGTTTAGAATACGCACCAACATACATATACTTCTGCAACTGAGTTGATAAAAATATTTCTAATTTCCAATTATCGGTTGCATATTTCATCCGAGAGCGTCCATTTAGATGTTATGGAGGCAAGGAGTTTGACTCGTTAAAGTACCGTTTCTCAATATATATATGGATCGCGGGTTACCCTTGGGTGGGTCACGAAAATTCAGACAACGTTTGGCATAACATATTTGAATCGTTTAAATTTTCAACGCAAGATTTAAGGCATGGTAAAATTGGAAGCAACGGACCTTTAGTAAGGTAATATAATGTACGTTAACGTTTCATTGGTTGCGCGATATACACTGAGTCAAAAAAAACTTTAGAATTCCTTTTATGATTTCTCACCACAAAGATTTATTATGCAAATCATAAGTTGAACATAGGTTGAAACATAATGCGTACCGTAAAACGGGGTAAAATTGATAGTTGTTTAAAGTATATTCTAAATATTTTTTACAGCAATGAATATTTTTCAAATTTTATATATTTAAAACAAGTACTGAGGATCCAAGAGTTAATTAATTAGTAATATGTTTAACGGAAATTAAAGCATTTACACTATTTTTTCAGTTTTGTGACCGAACTTCAGTATTTTGATTTGGGGTTACTTTGATAATGCTCGCTGAATGAAGAAAAAATGGATGAAACTGAAACAATTTAGTTCAAGAAATATGAAACTTTGAATGAGTATATAATCAGAAAACCTCATAAGCAATAAGAATACAACATGGAATTTATTATGGCTATATCAGGAATATATTTCATTTGAGTACTTTTTCAAACAGGCGAGAAAAAAAATTAAAATTGATTTTTAATATGTTTGTAAAATATGTTACACATACTAGTCTAGTCTAGTCTAGTCTAGTCTACACATACACAGCCAGTACTTGAAAGAATCCTGGAAAATGATACATCTATCATTTTTCTTGTCATTATTAATGCCTGCTGCACATCAAGGATGTGAAACAAACAATAAAGCGGCCAGGCCTACTGTGTAGCGTTAAGTTAATTTTTGTGGAAGTGAATGTTTACCATGTCTACTTAATAAGTATAGACAGTGGTTAACATTTAATCCACAGGTAATCAAAGAGCGGGGACATACCGTACCAACCGCTCCGTATGCAGGATTTGAAAATAGGCTATATAAATCGTTGGGAGTGACAGAGCTAAGAAAGTTAATGTACACTCCTTGATTTTCCGATCTCCTGGGATGGAACACAGGTATTTACCCCTTGTGTTCGAGCGTACAGTCCTCCCTCCGTACAAGCGTGGACGGCACCGCCAACCCACTGCCATCCCTCAATCGATCCAGCCGACCTCAGTCGAAGGACAACAGAGAGCGGTGTGCGGACGTAACCTATACGGAGGGAATGCTGTATTCGCCTAGGTTATAGCGCCCTTGCTCGCTACCATTTTCTTCTAGCGGTTGGGACCTGAGCACTAACTCTTGTCCTAGCCCTATATGGCATATGGTTATAGCGCCATTACTCGCTTTCTGAAAAGAGAAGAAGGGAAGGGAAGGAGAGGAAAAGGACTTGGGAAAAGGAAATGCGGAATTCCTTTCCTCATTAGTATTTGTATCGTCAACTTTTATGAAAACTATATAAATCATTCTTCCTTGGTCAGAGGTATTATTACGACATTTGAATAAGATTGTCTTATCATTTCCCTAATAAAAATAACCATAAAAGAGAGCTTAACGACGTGTTCGGGGTATCATCCAAACCCTATGTGGGATGGTTTACCTATCCGAGATACAGTTCGTTTATGGTATTTGTTTATTAGGGTTGTTATTCAAAATTTAATGTTATAATGATCAACATAGCTTTGGATTATCCAATATAAATCGGTAACACTGTCCTGCAACCGATGTAGGAAGCACCAAAGAATATATATAGACAAATCTCAAAAACACAGTTTTAACTGATAGTACTTTATAAACATCAAACTGTCCAATATTGGATCCTGCCAATTATAAGCACCAGAATAAATTGCAACGGACTCACCAAATTGATCCATGAACGATGTCCTGTTACAGTGATCTCCATACTCAAGGGTTGGTTGACTGGGCTCGAAAATAGGTTTTCCTATTCTTAGTATTGGACAAGCGAACCAAAAATCCTGTATGGCCAATCAGTTGATTAGTCAGATGATGAAAGCACAATTGTGGCTGAATGGATTCAGGCTGCTAAACGGAGAATCTGACCCACTTGTAAGGAACACAAAGAGCCACAAAGAACAACCAATGGTGCTAGGTTCCGAGATGATCAGTGGTTTAAGAACTCTGGGGTGGCAAATAGTTGAAGGAACACTCTTGTAAAATATGTTACACATACTATATGAAAACTATATACGATATCAACGGAAATACCATAAGCTACAATATGGAACCAATGTTTCTAATTTGGAAAAAGCGCAGCGAGTAAATTTAATATTCATACTATATTGCTATGCTATCAAAGTTACCCGCATTATCAAAGATACCCCGTTTTACGGTATGTCAAAACAATGTCAAAAATTCCATCAGTATTTGTCTTGTTTTACGATTTTTCACAAATCTGAACTGATTTCCTCCTAAACTATTCACACACAAGATAAAGGCTCTATTTATGTAAAGTCAATGTAGAGTGCATTAGGGGATTTTTTTTAGTTGAAATGTCATCCAAACCGTTTGTTTACATCATAATGACGATTTTCAAAACTCAAAATAATGCATGTTTTATTTATTTATTTTATTTATTTATTTGTCGTCAATCAGTGTAGACCGTTTTACAATAGTGCTGTTGCCTTACATGCTATTTTAAAACATACGTTTTATTTGAAATTGTCAGCAAATGTAGACTGCATATACAAATATCTAAAAAATAAAAATTGTTTTAAACTTAACGAGATGAAATCCTAGCAGTTAGTGTTCTCCTTACTGTATCTTTAGACATCGTTAGATCTATATGCTCACAATAATTATTATACACTCTCATCATTCTATTAATTGGTCCATTTTTACCATAATTCGTTCTGTGAGGTGACAGTTGAAATACATTTCGAGTTCTTAACATGCGTGATGGTACGTAAAAATTTAATCTTGCTAATATTTTTTCTGAATTTACGCGTTGTGAGATAATATCATTGACAAAGGAAATCATGGAAATTTCTCTTCGTTTCTTAAGTGTTTCAATGTTTATCAACATGCAACGGGACTCATAAGAAGGAAGGGGAAAAGAGGTCCAGCCTAGTTTCCTAAGAGCAAATAACAAAAACTGTTTTTGAACTGATTCCATACGATTTATATAAGTTTCATGGTATGGAGCCCAAACCACACTGCAGTATTCGAGAATTGATCTCACGTAAGCTATATAAAGTGTTTTGATGGTATATGGGTCTTTAAAATGATAACTAAATCTTTTTATGAATCCCAACATATTATTTGCTTTGTGAATTGTGGTATTCACATGATCTACAAATGTCAACTTCGAGTCAAGAATTACTCCTAAGTCCCTAATTTTATCGCACCTTACAACCAGCTGGTTTCCTAGAGTACATGTAAAATCTAGAGTAGTGTTTTTTTCTGGAATATGATATAATATTGCATTTTTTAACATTAATATCCAGCAGACTTTTAACGCACCAGTTGTAGAAAACATCAATTTCATTTTTAAAATGTAGCAAATCAGAATTGTCAAAGATTTCCATGTACAGTT